AGCTGAGGGAGGGCTGCTGAAGTATTACTGTGGCTCTTTGACAATGTACATTGGTAAGTTCTGGCTCCTTCTCAGGCTCAGGTTGCCCCCCCCCCCCCCCCCGGAATAGAATAAACTGGCTTTGTTTAAAGATCAAAGTGAATGGAGGGCTGGAGCAGATTCCTGGGTAAGTCTGTGCTTCCAGTAGGTGACTCACGCAGATCATAAGGAGACCCATTTCGTCATGGTCATAGTCATAAAAAAGGGCAAGTTTAGGGACCTTGCTTTTTTCTTTTCTATTTACCTTGAATAAATTAAATGATGTCTGAGTCTTGTTTTGTTGTATGCTGGTCTCATGTAACTCTTCTCCCTCTCCAATGCTCATCCCTCCTCCATGCTCTCTCCAGTGAACAAAATTACTAGCGGAGACAAAAACAAAGTACAAGGTAGATGACAGTTGCTTTAGCAATTCAAATTGGAAACAAGGATTCTGACTAAATAAATGTTAAGAGACAAGTTCCTGCTGTGAAGGAGGTTTGTGACTGTCCACTTTGTTAGGATGTCTCATGCTCCTGTTAGGTTGAGTGGGTGGAAGCTTGGAGCAGGGAACAGATTTGCTTATGAGTCTCTTAAAGTGCAAGTGTTGCTACTTTCCTCCTAGCTGCAGGAAACCTTCCCACAGGGAGAAAAGAGAGAGAGAGTGGTGTTGTGTGGTTTTGTAGGGAATTACAGTATAATGGTCTGACTGCCCTCGGCTTTGCTTACCTCACTGCCTTTATGCATGACAGAGGTTGCTTGTAGGGATGGATAGAATGGTTTGGGTAAAATAGAAATCCTTCTAAGCCCCCCCACCCCCAACCTTTGCGTAATACTTAAACCCAAACCTTTTCTCCAGCTGATCAGATTCTGACCGTGGCATAAAAGGGTACAACTCCTTTGAAGTCAGAGGACATGTTCCTTCTTACACCAGTTAAGAATGTAGCCCAGTGTCTTCGTTTCATCTTTGCCAAAGCTGCAGTAGTAAACTGTGCGACTACCAGGATTCAGACAACCCTGCTAGAAATTTGCCTGTCTGATCTTGTAGTTATGTTTGTCAAAGGGGCTACCTTGTATATCTCATAAACTGACACAACACTGCCTAATCTCTAGCAGTTCATCAGTGTGACCATATACTACTATGAATAAAACAACGAGGAGTCCTTGTGGCACCTTAGAGACTAACAAATTTATTTGGGCATAAGCTTTCGTGGGCTAAAATCCACTTCATCAGATGCATGGAGTGAAAAATACAGTAAGCAGTATATATATTACAGAACATGAAAAGATGGGAGTTGCCTTACCAAGTGTGGGACAGTCAGTGCTAATGAGGCCAATTCAATTAAGGTGGAAGTGGCCTATTCTCAACAGTTGACAAGAAAAGGTGAATATCAACAGAGGGAAATTACTTTTCTAGTGCTAACGAGGCCAATGCAATCAAGGTGGATGTCGCCCATTCCCATCAGATGACAAGAAGGTGTGAGAATCAGCAGAGGGAAAATTACTTTTTGTAGTGACCCATCCACTCCCGGTTTTTATTCAGGCCTAATTTGATGGTGTCCAGTTTGCAAATTAATTCCAGTTCTGCAGTTTCTCGTTGGAGTCTGTTTTTGAAGGTTTTTTTGTTGAAGAATTGCCACTTTTAAGTCTGTTATTGAGTGTCCAGGGTGATTGAAGTGATCTCCTACTGGTTTTTGAATCCTACAATTCTTGATGTCTGATTTGTGTCCATTTATTCTTTTGTGTAGAGACTGTCTGGTTTGGCCAATGTACATGGCAGAGGGGCATTGTTGGCACATGATGGCATATATCACATTGGTAGATGTGCAGGTGAACGAGCCCCTGATGGTGTGGCAACTCCCATCTTTTCATGTGCTGTTATATATATAATATATATATATATATATATATAATATATATATTGCTTACTGTATTTTTCACTCCATGCATCTGATGAAGTGGGGTTTAGCCCATGAAAGCTTATGCCCAAATAAATGTGTTAGTTTCTAAGGTGCCACAAGGTCTCCTGGTTGTTTTTGCTGATACAGACTAACACGAATACCCCTCTGAAACCATAGACTACTATGGTTACTCTAAGCCTTATCAGCAGATTGCAGCTGTTTAATTCACGTAAACAGAATCTGTTGCTTTCAGAGTCTCTTTCTTTAATTTGGAAGAAAAACAAATAAAATAGCCTGGAAGCCCATTTGGAGAAGTTATCAGTTTACAAGGGAAGTTGGATAATTGGAAGTTTGCAATTCTATTGATAGCTGGAAGTCCAAAAAACACAGAGTCAAACATAGCAAGAGGTTTATACATATATAACATTTATCTGTGTTTCAGATAGGTCTTAATTTTAAGTTTCCTGTAAAAACTTATCAAGCTGTAGAAGATTTTAATGGGGAGATTATAAAATTATCTACTGCATTTAAGATGTAACTGTTATCAGCTAACTTAGATAAGACAGAAAACAAGTTCCCACTAACTACAGTGAAATGTCTGGTTCTTAGTTTTGACAAGTTAAATTATTCACCCTCTTAACTTTTTTATTTGCAGAAGGTGCTCTCAAATCAATAGGTACAAACTGGGAACAAGAATCTCAACATCTGGAGTTGCATATGGAAAGTGTAGCAAGGAAACTAGCAAGCAAAGATGTTTGCAAGGAAGTAGATTTTCCTTCTTACACACAATCTGTATTCTATTGGGTTCTGTTTACAGTAGGGATTTACTTATTGTTCCAGGAGGATTAGTAAGAAGGTCAAGATTTTGGCCATAAATGCAGCCTTTTTCCAGATTCTCAAAGTTACTCTCAACAAATAGTTTGTTTAAACCTGATGATCTCTCTTAATACCAGATGTTCGTGTTAGATGAGCCCTCAAATTTAAGATTTTTACCTTGAAAGTGTCATTTCAAAGTTGTGCTGCAAATTGGGAGTGCCGTGAAATACACACTGGGGTGCCCTAGACTCAGAATAGCCTAACAAATGCTGTAATGTCACTAACTATAGATTACGGTGACCTTTTTTTAAATAGAACTAACGAAACCCTAACAAATACAGGTAAATGTAATGGTTTTGCATAATACAATATGTAAATTTTTGTTCTAAGTTACAAAGCTAGAAGTCGTCATTGTAATAGACAGGCTTAGCTGGGGGAATTTACTGTATGGGATTACACAACATTTACAACTATTACTCATAGCCCTTCTATTGGGACAAAGGTCACAAAAGATCAGTGTCACAGTTGCAGGGTTCTCTGTCCCTTCACTGGTCCCTGAGTGCACGCCCACAGGTGCCAGGCCTGGTGTGTTTACATCTGCTGAGGTGCAATTCCGCAGTTCTCCCACTCTTATATGGCGCCCTAGGCTATGGCAGTTTGTGTATCCATGGTGCTTATGCAGCAGTTCTGACTGAGTTTGGGATTCTGGGACCAGTGGTGTACAGCGATCAGATGGCCTTCTTAAAGCACAAGTATTGTTTGTTTTACCAGTGGGAACAAAGCTTTTAGAGAAAAATGGATTTTAAAACAACAAACTGTCTACATGGATGTGTATCTATCCGAAAGCACTACCACGCTGTCATAATGACCTAGGTAGGCCTCGCTCCTCCAGAAGCTCCTAGCACGTCCCTGAGTCTCCATCTAGTTCCCCAAAAAACCTGCTTTCTTGAGACAGAATCCCATTTTAAACCCTGTTATAGGTTAGGGGAGGGGGATTGGTTTTGTTCTTTTGTGTTCCTGGGCTTTGACCCTTTCTGGTCCAAACCAGTTTTGTAGGTTGGCTATCCTGCGCCATTCTTTTCCTTGCCACCTGTTTCTCTAGACAGCCCTCTACTGTATTAACCCCTTATATTCATACAGTAAATACCCCAATAACAAGGCCAACATGCGGTGTTCATCAGTTATTACAGAGCAGCTCCAAATCCGTCACAATCAGGAACTTGGGTTTGCATCTTTTTTGAATAGCACCTCCAGCAGCTCAGTGCCCCTACACCCTCTCGCAGAGTCCGGAAGTAGCTCCTTTCAACAGCCATTGTAGCCAGCAAGGCTCCCCACTAATTCATGTCCATGCATCTTTTCTTCAGGATCCCAACATTTCGGTGCACACCAACAATCCGGACCTAACACCGTGTTTTCAGAATACCATCTTAGCATGGATCCCTAGCATTTACCTCTGGGCTGTCTTACCCTTTTATCTCCTTTATCTAAAACACTACAAAAGAGGATACATCGTACTCTCCATGCTGAGCAGGTTCAAGACGGTAAGATCTTTCTGTAACTCGCTGCACAAATGCATATCCTTGAGGTCACATGTGGGAGTGGAAGCAAAGACATGCAAATTCAAGGCAAATGGTGCATAAAAGGGGAACCCAGTACCAGGTGGAAGATCAATGACCTTATCTGCCTCTAGATTAAAGTTAGCAAATCAATACAGCTTTGCAAATGTTTGATAATGAAGGGCAGTCTCTGCCCTGGCCAAGTCTGGGTTCAGGCTCAAAGCATAAGGCTGATGCCACTTTCACTGGTTTCAATGAGGTCTGGGTGCACGTAAGGGCAGCTGGATCGGGCTCATGGTAGGTAACAATATGCACAGAGATCCCCGAAATACCTAGGCATTGTCGCCAGAGGTTACAAGCTACCCCTCTCTCTGGCTTGGATAAGCAGAGCTCCCGCTCCTTGGCTGGTGCAGTGAGAGTTCGCCCTCCAGTGTCAATTTACGTACCATCACGATGATCTCCTTAGTACAGCTATCTGTCGATCTATCTATGGATTGATCAGTCACACTTATGTGACCCCTATATCTGAGCACCTCATAATCTTCAATGTATATATCATCACAACACCGCGGTGAGGTCGGTATCCCCATTTTACAGAGAGAAACTGAAGGCTTGTCTACACGGTGGGGCAATACGCACTACGGTGGTGTAATTTCTGAAGCACACTAATGTGCGGCATTAGTGCGCAGTAAAGGTTCCATAGTACTGTTTGAAACAATACTGCTTTAAAGCACACCAGGGAATATTTAGTGCACACTAGCAGGGTCTACAAGGACCAATTAATGTGCAACATGTTAGTGCACTTTAAAAATCACACCCCTGTAGCGCGAATTACCCCACCCGATAGACCAGCTCACTGTGACATGCCTAAGGTCCCACAGGGTTGTCTGTGGTGGAATGGAGAATTGGATCTAGGTCTCTCAAGTCATAGGCTAGTACCGTGACAATTGGCTCAGGTGTCCTCTCTATGGAAGCTCACACACTGCCCTTCACAGAGATGCTTTCTAAAATTTTTCTAATTATCTCCATCCTCTTCCGTTTGTGACATATCTCCCCCACCCCCTCCGGCTAGTGAACAGTAACACTGGAACTACCCTGCAGATGCTGCCACCTTTCTCTCCATTCACCTTCTCAGTTCATGCATCATTGCGAGCCATCTCTCGCGTAGGAGCTATAACTCATGTCACGTGGAATCCATCTGTGGACCTCCCAAAGCCTTCATCTTGTTGTTGGGCTGGTTGAACTCCAAACAGATTTGCTATGCCCCTGATGTCTTTGGGTCATTCTTGATGCTGGCATATATGCTGACAAGAATTGTAACCTAGAGAATACAACATTGCTGTATCATCATGCCCTGTGTCCTAGCTCCAGATGAATGGAACACAACCCACGGGGGTAAATTGTCACACACACACACACACACACACACACACCGTCATCTCTTTAGATTATAACTTCAGAAACTGAAACAGCAATGGAAAACCTAATGGCCAACTCAAGAGCAAAGGCAGGTAGCGATAAAAGCTCCCTTTGCACACTGTAAATATATTAATTAGCTAATCTTATAGAGCACAATGAAATGCTTTGCGTGGGTATCGGGAGCTGAACACTGAGGACCAGTAAAATCCATTAAGCCCCACCACCAGCCACTGTGTACACAAGGTAGATGTGTGATGAATCACTTCATGTCTCACTGATTACAACCCTGAATTCAACCTCCTCTGCTTAGAATCTACCTGCAAATAGGATGAGCCAAGTAAGGGGAGTAAACAAAAGGAGGGGAAAGAGTTAAAATAACAAGATTAAGGCTTGTACACACCTCAGCAATGTAAAGGATGTTAATGCTCTTGAGGTTGGAGATAGATGCAGAGACCTGAGAGAAGGGCTTGCTGGAACTCACCCCTGTGCAAAGGGCCAGCACGAGACCACTTAATCCTCACTTAAGACCTATTCTGAGGGTTTAAGTGGTACATAGCTCTTGTGCTGGGCCTCCGCTCAGGAGTAAATTTCACCCTATATGTGTAAAACAGAATCAGGGATTTTCCAAGCAGCTATAAATGCCTAATAATATTTAGCATTTATATAGAGAGCTTCTCTATTTCAGGAACTTTACAAACAATGTATAGGCCCCATTACATCCCTGTGAGGTGGTTCAGTGTCATTGTTATCCGCATCTTACCAAGGAGAAAACAATGTGAAAAGGGTCAATAGCTCGTGCAAGACCACAAGAGAATACGGGTCAGTCCGGGAGTAAAACTCGTAGCTCCCAGTCCAGAGCACTTGTCACTAGTCCCATCTCTTTTTCTCTCAAATTTGTACCACTGGATTTCCAATTACAACTGATTAATATAGTGAAAATAGGCAGGTATGTATGTCTGTGTCCATATCACATTCACACCCTCCCCCCAAAAAGTATGAGACCAGATTACCAATTGGTATAAATCAGTGTACATAAGAACTTACGCTTCCTTGACATAGCTCATGGTTTTGTTCACCTGGGTGAAGTAATGGTACTGTTTTATTTTAAATCAGCTTCTCGTTGATCAAAATCTAACTACTCTGCAGATCTGCACCTGGAGATGAATTTATCAAATGCCTTCCCCGTTTAACACTTATTCTTCTTTTAGATTTTAGGTGTTCTGCTGTGGTGTGTGTGCTGGGCAGACCTATTCTTCTCCTTCCACGAACTCCTACAAAGCAGAACCCCACCCCCTGTCTATTTTGTCACTCCCCTAATTGTTGGCATCACAATGGTTAGTATGCATTTCTATCAGTGACTCTTAATGGGAGTAGCTTTCGCAGATATGAGGTAACCCTTTGTGAACTAATGGGGTAGAAAAACCTTTCTGTGCAGTCTCCTCTAAACGACAGGTTTCTACTGGTCACCAAAACCACTTGAACTGATCCAATGTTGACAGCCTCAGCAGAGAGGTTGAGGAGTAGATGGGCCATGGAAACTGAGTTACCTTCCCAACACTTGAATTGATGCTCTTATTGGTTGGGGCAGGATCGCAGGGTGCTGTGGGGTGAAGCAGAATTGCTAGCTCCATCATGTTATGTCTCTCTGGTGGTCAAACAGAACTTTGGGAGGACTGTCAATCCAACACCTTCCACTGCCATTAAATGTTCTCTCTATTTAAAAAAAAAAAGTTGCTACACGAATTATTAATATTTTTTGAGTTTATGTATGAAAAACGTTGCTTACTGAAAAAAGCCTCCAGTGCAAACAGTCTCCATTGAAGAGATAATTAATAATGTCAGTTTAATGGAAGGGTTTGTTCTACATCATTTATTTCCTAATGTAAAATTCTCCATGCTACCTTACTTGTGATTGTTGTGTAGAGAAAGTGACTTGTCTTTTATGTTCGGTTTGTTCTAACCTCTCCTGAGCAAAGCAATGTATTGCAGCCCTGTTTGTGCATTATTCTACCCTCTGTCAAACTGTGCCTCTGATTTATATTGTTGTTGGGTCTTTATTGGACAGAAACCAAAAGCATTTTATTTAAGAACTCAAACTGGCTTTGAACTGTGGACGGGAAGATGAAATGCTAATCCTTATCCATTGAGCTTTTACTTCCTTATGTGGGATGAAAACATTCATAGACCGGTTATAATTTCACCTATCTAGACGGAAGAAGTGAACTTTTTGGTGAAGAACCAACAAAGTTTAAAAATACGTTCACCCTTAATGTTAATTTGGCACAAACAAGAGAAATTTCAGTTAAAAGAAAAAAACAAATTTCTGAATCCGAGTCCATGAAAACAGGGAGAGAAATTCTTTCACAAGGGCCCTGTCCTGCTTTCATTAGGCAAGTGAAAGTTTGTGATGGACTTCCATGGGAGCACGACTAAACCTTAAGTGCACAAGAAACCATGTTTGTAAACTTGTAATTTTAGTGGGGTGGGGGGTTATGATGGGCACCCAGTGAAAGCATGAACGGGGAAAGCATTGTCGGGCATGTATTTATGTGTTCCTGTGTTTACTTTTCACAGGTGTTAGCCACAGTACTCGTTCAGTATGAGAGGCTGCGAGGGATTCAGTCCTCAGGAGTGCTCATAATATTCTGGTTTTTGTCTGTTCTCTGTGCCGTGGGTCCTTTCCGGTCCAAGATCATTGCTGCAACAGCTCAGGTATACGTACTGTGCTTATGTAGGGGACAGCTAGTATAGCATTACCATGTCTTTGAAGGATAGATGGGAATGAGTCACCCAGTTTAGAGTTCATATCTGAACCTGAACTTTACCAAACAAAGGGGAAGTTTGGCTCCAAAGATCAGATTCAATCTGTCTGTAATTTAAAGGGAACTTTTGAGTCATATCATTGCATGCCAAGGGAATGCCCAGACTATGCTCAATCAAAGGATGCGTTGGACACCTGGCAGGAATCTGAGGGCTGCACGAGTTTCACATACAGTAGAGCAGATTGCAGCCTTTTAAATAAGGAACAGTGGTAGTAGAGGCAATATGTCTTAATATCCAGTACCCCTGCTTGGATCATACAGCTTGGCTGCACTGTATAACTCTGTGGGCTGCACAGTCAACTCTTGATGTGATGGGAACAGGATTTTCACTCTTTGTAAGCAAAGATCAGAAAGTTAAAGGGAGAGGAAAGAAACCTGTGCTGATATGATCCATGTTTAAACACATAGCCAGTTCCGCCACAATGAGAGAGGGACTGCCATATCCCTGATCAGAGCAAATTTCCATTTGGCTATTGAATAAGTCCCATGGATTCAGTGATTAGATAATTGAAGGCCTGGAGAGAAAAGCAGCATGTTAAGAACACGAAGCATAAAATCCGGGTCCCATTAAAAATCAATGGGAGTTCTGCACTATTTGGTGATCTAAATGATTATTTATTTATTTATCCTCATTTCTGTAGGCGAGATCTTGATATCCTGGGCTGTGCAAAACATGGAGTTTGAATTGAACTATAAATGATAGCCTGTGCAATATTCGTTTAGAAAATAGTACGTGCCAGAGTGGGATGCCCTTGTGAATTAACTGGTGTAAATTTAACAAGTACAGTAATAATGAATTTTCTTGTTATGGCCCCTCTCACCCTCGCAGTGTGACCGTGAGGCTAAAACGCAAACAGAATCAAAATTCCATCTCGCTAATATAAATAAGTAAAACTATTGAATTACATCATGATGCAGCACCGAAAGCTTTTTCCTAGGGGAAGAGGCTTTATCAATGGCTAATTCTGCAGTTAATCTAAATCAAGAGGTTGGATGGCCTACAGACTTGGACTCTTAAACCAAAGCCATAGGCGACATTTCTTCTATTGTCTTTGCAACCACCAACGGCCAGAAACGCCCCCTGTCTGACTGTAAGGATTAGAGATTTTATATGGTTAATGAGAGTGTGCACAATTACATTAGGATATAAACAAAAACCGTATAAGGGATTATACAGTTCTGCTATGAGGAGTAAGTCAACCACTAACTGATAGGAGTTGGAAAAAAACGTCCCCTAAGGGAAGAGTGTACAGTAATTGTCTATTACAAGGTTTCTTGTCCCTTCCTCTGAAGGCATTTGGTACTGGCCCCTGTCAGAGACAGGATACTGACCTAAATGGATTCCTCTTTTGATCTGACATTTCCTATGATTGTAGATTAAAGGCATGATCCTGCACGTATCATCACCAGGATCTCTGAAAAAGATTTCACTTAGTCCTGATTCAGAAAAGTATCCGTGTTCAGGAAAGGCATTTAAGCACATATTTTAAGTCCCACTGAAGTCAATGAGACTTAAGCACATGCTTAACTTTAAGCACATATTTAGATGCTTTAATGAATAGGGACCCACATTTATAAGCATTATTCCGCATAGTAAGGTGTTTGCAGGATAGAGCCCTAGGGGAGAAAATGCACTGCCAGAAAGAAGCTCAATAAATTAGTAGGTTCTACAAGAATTGAGTCTAATGAAAACAACCCTTTACTGTTTTTTCTCTTTCTAGGGCCAAATAAAAGACAGGTTCAGATTTACCACATTTTTCAGCTACTTTGCACTGATACTCATTGAGCTGATCCTTTCGTGTTTTAAAGAAAACCCTCCATTTTTCTCCCCTATTAATTCAGATCCTGTAAGTACTGCTATATTCCTCTGACTGTATTTTATAGAATGTCTTAGGTGACATGTAAGGGAGATATCGGTAATTAGTCTCTTCCGGGAGGAGTGTTCAGGTGGCTAGGGCAGTGTGTCTCAACCTTTTAGGTTGGCAACCCATTACGTGAAGTCAAAAATTTTCACAATTTGCCCTCTCCTTTTCCTCTCCCCCCCATTATATGTACTAAGATTAAAAATGCATCCGTAGTAACAGTAACAATCCTGTGTAATTGGTTCATGTGTGTGTTTCAAGAGGTTGACAGAGAATGCTTGCCCTTGAAGGGGAATTGTGTTCAGGGAATAGGGGAGCAAGATTTTCTTTGCTTTATATTATAATAAAATTTTCAACACGTCATGATCCCCCAGTTGAGAAACACTGGTTTAGGAGATTGGTAATGATACATGGAGCCTTTCACCACTAGATCTCTGGTTCAAATCCAGCTCAGAGCAGTTGGTGGCTGAAGATAGAGCTCACTATTAGAAATACTGAGATTACCACACCTCATTTATTAAATTGTTATGCAGCAGCAAATATATTTATGAGAATTAAAATGTGATATTAATTGTTCCAAGGATTATCTCTGGAGAGATGGACTTCAGTTTGATGGATGTCCTCTTAATGATATGTGAAGCCATTAGGGTTTTAATTTATTAATAAATGAGCCCTTCCTACAGGACTTTAGGATGGATAAGGAATAACCTTAAGATAAGACAATAGTGCTGTCTAGAGGTTAAATTGCTTCTCTATCTTTTTAAGCAGTTTTCATAATTGGATTTATGTTTGAACCAAGCTGGGAGAGAATGCTGAATTATAGAATTAATTTCTGAAACGAACATTTCTGAAAGCAAAGAATGACATTTCATTTTGTACAAGTGTGATTAAAAAGCAGTATGAGGTGTGGTTGTTAAGGAACGAAAGGAGTCCTGTATGAAATGGAGAATGAAAGAAATCAATTTTATGTCATTATTAGGACATAGTGCATAAGTTACTCTCCATGATAGTCCAAAAACGATTAAAATGTGTTTTGTCCTTTTTGAAGCATTGTTATTTTAAACTTCTTAATTATTTTTTTTATTTAACTTTCTTGTAGAATCCATGTCCGGAGTTAAATTCAGGCTTTCTTTCAAAGATGACATTTTGGTGGTTTACACGGTGAGCATGTCCTTCTAAGGCTTTTATAACCCCAAGGATAACCTCCATTTTTGTTGGCAAAAATACAGGACTTCTGACTAGGGTGACCAGATGTCCCGATTTTATAGGGACAGTCCCGATATTTGTGGCTTTTTCTTATATAGGTGCCAATTACCCCCCACTCCCGTCCCGATTTTTCACACTTGCTATCTGGTCACCCTACTTCTGACAGCCAAAAAATTCCCTTGTAGTATCTACTGGATAAAGTTACTCACTTCCTGTTCAGTCTTGTGTGATGTTTCCCCTGAGAGGTGCCAGGACACCAGTGGTAGCAGTGAAAGAGATTTAAAAATCTGTCCATAAAGTGCCCACAAGATTCATAATACCTTTCAGAACTGTAGAGGTGAAACTGAAGAGAGGCCTAATAAACAGTATATACAATTTGCTTACTATGCACTGGAGTGCTAACATACGGCAAGAGAGTTGGTGAGTCATAAGAACATGTTGCACAACAGGGATAATATTGCAACCTCTGGGGGGATGTCTTTAATTTCCTGTGGAAGTTTTCATGTACTGTGTTTGTAAAGGGATTTTCTGTACAATAAGGAAAGAAAATCGAGTCCTCTATGTAGCATGACAACTTTCAACAATAGAATTGTTGGTGTTACACATGAGTTCAAGGTGCAAAGTTCAGATCAGGATTCAGATCCAAAGTTTTGGCCCATCCCTGATAGAGAGATGGGCCAACTGCAAAGTTCACATCCAGACTCAAACTTTCTTTGAGGGTGATGGCATCTGGGATTTTTGCTTCAGCTTCAGTGATAATAGTTACACTGGCATTAGCAATGTCCTCTTATTGTCCTGTGTGTAAACCCAGTAAGACCATTTTTAATAAAGTGTGTCATATTTGCAAAGTTTCTAAGGGATTTGAATGCTCAACTCCTATTAGAAATTAATGAGGATTAGCTGTCCATATCCCCTAGGCAGCTATGACAACTTCACCCTAAATATGCCATTGAAAAATAATAATTTTCAGTTATATGGGGGAAAAATCCCATTTTCCTTTGGTTGTTTATGGTCTCTTGATTTTTATACTTCATTCAGCTCAGATAGTGACTCTCAACTAGTTTAGTTATTTTAACATCCTAACACTTCACCATTCTCATGCAGTAGTACAATTCAACTCAAACACTTCTGGAAATGGTTTCTTTATTGTTCTTTAAATTGTTTTAATTTCCTTGTTTTTTAAAAATCATGACAATATTTCCATAATGTATTAGGTTTTAAAAATATTGTTTACTAAACCTAAACGTGGAACCTAAACTACTTGACCTCCTTTCCCTGCATTTGTAACTCGTTTTTGCTTTAGGATCTGATTATCACTCTTGGTTTAGAGAGAGATCCCTCTTCTTTTGTTAGCTAAGTGGTACTGGAGTTTCTAATGTTAATAGATGCCTTTAATTTTATCAGCCAAATGGATTTGGAACTATTATTTTTATATTCATACAGCATGGCAATTCTTGGTTATAAGAGGCCTCTGGAAGATAAAGACTTATGGTCACTAAATAAAGATGATACCTCCAGTATAATTGTACAACAACTGCATAAAGAGTGGGATAAACAAAAAGACGAAAGGAAACAGTAAGTACTTCCACATTTTAGCAAACCAAGATTGGTCTCTAAATTGTCTGTACATTAAAAATGAGTCCTGCTCTGAAAAGGGACGAAGGCCTGGTCTACGCTATAGCGTTGCTCCTGCCGATGTAAGTTGCCTGCTACACAGACCTAATAACTTCATCTCTGCGAGAGGCGCAGCACTTAAGTCAAGGTACTTAGGGTAACTCAGTGTCTGTGTAGACACTGCGTTAGTTACATTGCCTGTTGACTGTCAGCCAACCATGGGCTCACAGCTGGAGCCTCTCTGCCCCGGGGCTGACAGCTAGGGCTGTTGGCCCAGGTTGGGGGAGGCTTCAGCTGCCAGTGTCCCACAATGCCCCATACAGTTAAGTTGGTGGAAGCTCTCCTGGTGAGGACGTGCACCACCGACAGATGGTGCACGTGTGGACGTGAGCCACCGTGGTAATTACAATCTAACTTGGATTGACTTAATTTTGTAGTGTAGACAAGACCTATGTAAAATGGCCACCTATTAACTCAACCAATCTGTTTTTCCAGGAGTATTAAGTCATGTGTGCTTGCTTTTAATACACTTTTACTCCTGTTAACACTGCAGAACCAACACGCTTATGAGAAAGTGAGCTGGGGTCTTCTCTGGCTCAGACATCACCTGTAGAATTGCTAAGTAAGTTATAAGTGCAGAATCTCCACTGCTGGTGGTGTGGGAGCCAAAAGGACCAAACAAGGGTGGCAATTTGGGTGGGGGAAGATCTCCTTACTCGAAACTGAGCAGACTTCATCTGGAATCTCTGAGACACAATAGATCTGGAGCCTGATGATTTCATTCTGAGTCAATTTTCAGAGTAGACTTTATGTACATCTTAAGAAACAAAAGGAATCCCCTCCCCCACACACGCGCATGAGGCTTTCACATCTCACACCACCTTCAGCCTTTGATTAAGCTCCTGGGGTGAGGAATAAGGGACGAGACGCTTAGTTCAGCTTCTCACTTCCAACTAGTAATAAAGAAGTTTTTAAAAAATGACCAACATTGCTTATGAAAGAGGCCCCTGCTCCCAGCGAAGTTAGTGGCAGAATTCCCGTTTCTTCAAGGGTAGCCAGCATCAGGCTTGGCCTTTGCATGTAGTTCTCACACTAGACGAGATGTCCTTTCAATCTCATGTTCTGTCCTAATCTGATCTAAAAGGACAATTATTTGTTGTGACTGTCTCTCTCTCACCCACTGACCGGTGTCAAAAGCACTTCTAAATAAATAGATCTCACTGAGGATGTGCTTATAGCTGGAAACGTCAATAATTGGGTCCTTCATTTCCATTTCCTCTAATTGTGGAGCTATTTCTTCTCCGTTCAGAGGTTTTCCTCTGTTTCCCTGCTCCATGCAATCATGCCAAGTTGGAAAGCCCCCATTATTGGTTAGCCACTCTCTCACAATAGTATTTTTGGCAGAGTTAAATGTGATGGGGGAGTTTTTGCTTTGCAGGTAAGATCTGAAGAGCTTCCAGTACTAACACCACTGGCTCTTCGGTTCTTTTAATAACTTGTCTATTTTTATGGAAGGGTGTAACGTGCATTGTGTGGGATCTGGTCTCTTGGTGCACGGACATAAATCCAACTTCGCCTCATGAGATTTGTGTAATGAGGGCAGACAGTTGACAGAGATGTCGAGGGCCCAGCAGAACTTCCATTCTGAAACTGTGCCTGGGGTTTCGTCAAAAAGTTCATTGTGTTTTGATTCTTTACAGTGCTGGTAGCCACCCCTTCCCACCCCCTCCCGCCCCCCCAAACAAAGTGTGTTGCTTGCAAACTGAGCAAATCTAACCTGGCAGATACTGAGCGAGAGAATGAACTGTGAAACCCGGTGAACTATTTTCAGCAAATAATTTATTTGTCTGATTTAGCCTTGATTTTCTGTTCACAGATGGTCTGTGAACAGCTCAGAATTTCCACGATTTTGTTCAAGGAATGGTGTATGTGAACACATTTCTGCCTCTGCACTCTTTGTCACGGGTATCACTTTGAGAATCTGTGGACTGTTCAAATTTCAGGCCAGTGGAGTCCTCAGCTAGCTCCAAAAAAAAACTACCCGGTCATTGGAAAAAGTCAAAAAGCCCCTGTCCTGATGTTATTAACAAAAGAGGTTAATTCAAAACTAACATTTCAGTCGTGGCTGCTCCTAGGGTTCTTTTCCTGTCCTTCCTTGTAGCTGATCCTAACATCCTTTCCTCTAGAGGCTTCACCCACCTGCATTACATTCAGGGTGGAGTTTGATAAGCCAGAATTGCCTCAGTGAGTCAGCACAGTTCCAACACCTGCTGATAGAGGGGGGACAGCAAAAAATCCTGCCAGCCTGTTCTAAGAGAGCTAAGGGAGTGAGAGTATCAAGAAGATGGGATTTCCAACAGCACCTAGGGGAATTAGGCACCCTAATCTCAGTGAAAGTCAGTGCGTGTTGGATGCCTGATTCCCTTCGGTGCTTCTGAAAATCCCACCCAGTGTCTCGAATAAAATTATAATAAATGTATCACACTTTTCCTCACTAGCTCTCAGTGTTTTGCAAAGGGAGTATCATTATTCCCATTTTTACAGATGGGGAAACTGAGACACAAACAGGTGAGGTGGCTTGCATAAGGTACCCAACAGGCCTGTGGCAGAGCCAGGAACAGAACCCAAATCTCTTTTGTTCTAGTTTGGGGCTCTATTCATTGGGTCACACAGCCGCCACAATGCTCCTGAGCTCTTGTCGTAATCATTTGTTTCATACTCTTAGGAAAGAAGACGTGGCATACGTGAAGACATCTAACCATGTGCTGAACCATGTTGGTGATGGCCCAGAGGAGGCAGAAGTTCTGATCCGGGATAAGAGGCAGCATAAAGAGCCTTCCTTCCTCAAAGCATTGCTAAGAACTTTTGGCCCATACTTCTTGATCGGCTCTTTCTACAAGCTGATCCAAGATCTGCTTTCTTTCGTCAACCCTCAGTTGTTAAGGTTGGTTTCTCCTATCAGTCGTTTTTACCCACAATCCTCAAGAAGTCTCAGCTTCAGAGAAGAGCATGCTTCTTGAAGTGCATGATTTTCTCCACACAGTGTTGTGTGCGCAAGCCCAACAGCTTTTGAGGTGAAATGGCAAAAGGTGGCCGTTCTTCCTTGTGTACTAAAAGGGAAATCAGACAGGCCTGACTAGGACACCTAAAAATGAAAGACCCATAAATTGGGCATAGCCAAAGGGCTGCCATGGGCTAAAAAATGGCCTATTGCATTCTGAGTGGCGGCCTAAAGTAGTTTATTCTTTACTGCTGAGGAGCATCTGCAGCCAGGCAGGCAGAGCACTGCATGCTGGGATCAGTAGTTTTTACATGGTGGATGTCTTCATCAATGATGAAGGCAGCTGCAATATACCTCATTGTATACAAATGAAGTGTAGCCCTTAGACACCTGGCAGGTTGCCAGTGTAGCTCTTGGCTGGGACAGGTTTGGGAGTTCCTGCCTTATATGTAGATTTATTCTAGTCAGAGCCAAGGCCTTGCGCATTCTCAAAGGTGTTGCAGTGGTGAGAACGTGGGGTGGGGTGAATACATTTTCCAGAAAAAGGAAATGATCAGATACAAGAAGGAAGGTTCTTGCCAAAAGTGAGAAGCGGGGTTAGTAGCACCTTTCCCGCCTTCTCTTGCACTCTCCTTACATGGAGTAAGGCTCATAAAAATACTTTGCTCTTTGTCTCCCTGGGAGATCGGCTGTCCCAGCCCAAGTCATAAAAGGACTGTGCATCTTTGTAAAGTGGCATCTCACTTCTCTTTCTGTGTTGATTTATTCACGGGGCACAAAGCCCGCCAGCTCATTAACTAGGAAGAATGTAGTGAGGGAAATACCAGAGTTGCAGGGAATAGCAGTTGTGTTCGATCAAACAATCATTTTTCACTCTCTATCTTTAAAAGACGCACCGACATTTTAAATGTTTATGGAAAGAATAGTGGAGAATGGATTACGGCTGTAAATGAATGTAGGGGGTGGGGTGGAAAAAGACTGGGTTTTATGGTATAAAAACCTCTGTTAAAATAATGCTTTGTGTTGAGCTGTCTTCTGAGATCCTGCTGATATGTGAGTGCTTTGCATAACACACAAGAACTTGTTACAAAGAGGAGGATCCAACCCACCATATCTGCATTTTGTAGTTTAGATATCTCCTTTCAAAGCCTTGAGGGAAGAGGAGAGTGCTAGCAGGCTTTTAAGGGGAAAGTGGGTTAAATGTCATTGTATCCTGGGAACTTTTCACTTATATCAATTCACAGACAAATTTAACGTCCTGATGGATAATATCTCAAGGCACATTGCCATGCATTCATGTAAGCATCTAAACTCTTGTGAGCCGCCTCAGGAAATTTATTTCTCGCAGCTGGAAAAAGTAGGGCGGTTTGGCAAGTTTTGATGCATGTAAAACAATAGTTTTATATTTCTAGAAAGATCACTAGGTCACGTGCTGGGTCCATCAAGAAGAGCCTTTACAAAGCTCCCCACCTAGTGTGCATCAGTCCGCTGATGCTGCCTGGAGCTGCTCAGGGGAAGGTGGGTTTGGGGCCAAAAAGGAATGTTAACCATGGCCTCCATGCTTTTGCCACAAGTGATTTGGGGCCTGATCCTTAGCTTTTGCAAATCGTCACTGAAGTCCCTGGAGCTATTCCAGTTCACACCAGCTGGTGCTCGGGCCCTTTGAATCAAATCATAGGTCCCACTTTCCTCTGATAAGAAAAGGCAGAATTATTGTGGCAGCGCTTAATTATCTGATTCATAGTGCCAGATCCACTTTACGTGGCTAGTAACCTGAAATTGGAAATGCAGTTACTAGGGTTATTGTGCATTACTTGATATTTTCTGCTTATTAGCCATATCTTTACCATGCAGGCCTCACTGGGAAAGCAATTGCATGTAGTAGAAGTCAAGGGTTATTAATGAAGATAAATGGCTAGTTTAATGGCATCACCATTTAGCTAAAAGGTAGATGTGAATGTCAGTTCTTTACGGATACATATAGGAGAATGGGGTTTGGAGCCTATTTCCCTGAGGGAAAAGCCAGCCCGAGGCACTGGTGGTCCAGGAGTTTGAAGAAGGTTAGGATGAGGTGATGGTTTGACTATGACCTCCTGTGATGCAGTTTTGGAGGAGAGGAAGAAAAAACAATTAGAAACAAGCTCCAGACCTGTGGGGTAATTGAATGATTGTCCTCTGCCAAAGGGGCAGAATTAGCTGGGGATCCATTAGCCCTTTGACATTTGTAAGTAGGCTGAGGGAGCTCAGCTGGGAGAGAGCTGCAGGAGAACCACGTCTCTCCAGCAGAGATGGCGTCACAGTGAGTGAAATAGACTCTTGTCTGTGAAGGGCCGGAGGTAGGACTTGGAAGAAATAGGGAGATTGCTGGGGGAAGCTGCTGGCGTCCCTGTGGAAGGGATGCAGTGAGGAAAACCCTGAGAAGAAGCAGTGGGTAGCAGCACAATTAGCTCAAGAAGGACAGAAGCGGGTTTGTTTTGGAATGTTGGTGTTGACTGTTTGATTGGACTTTCATAACCGCAGAAGGGGACCGAACTTCCAGAGGGCCAGGCCACAGAAGGCTGAGATGGAGACATGCTATTGAGGGGCCATGGAAGTGGCCGCCAGTGGGGCATTACAGATGTGTCCCTGTAATGCCTTAACTTGACACTAGGGAGTGCTCTTAGGGTGAGTCCAGTCTCCTACACCTGCCCCTTATGTAGTAGACAGGCTGGTGTCCCACTGCATGTGTCACTCAGTTCGCAGCTACATGGAGCTACTTAGAGAGGCCAGATAAGGAACAGTGCATTATGGAGGCTGAAGCTCAGCAGAGCCTGATGTTCGGCCTTGTAGTCCATCTATTGCTGGTTAGTTCACAATTGGGCTTTCTCTCTGGCAAGATCTAATGTTTAGCTGTTGTATCTAATGTTATTTGAATAAAGCCGTAACTTAGCTTGTAACCAGGAGAATTTTTTGTCATTTGTGAGAAAAAGGAGTATGTGGCAACCTGCTATGGATAAGAGAAACTATGTGCTGTGTTATGTTATATCCCATTAATCTCTCTCCGTGTTTTGTTTTCCTTCCCCAACTTTCTTAAAAACAGCATATTAATTGGCTTCATTAAGGATAAAGATGCCCCATCCTGGTGGGGATTTTTGATTGCAGCTTTGATGTTTTTCTCTGCCGTGCTGCAGACTATAATACTTCACCAACATTTCCAGTACTGCTTTGTTACTGGGATGAGGCTGAGAACTGGCATCACTGGGATGATATACCGAAAGGTAAGACTGGAAGCATGTAATTGGTCAATGCAACTATATATAGCCAAGGAGGAGTAATCTTAGCCATTAGACAATAAGGAGAGAACAGGCTCACGATTATGGGGAGAAAGCAGTTTCCTGGAAAATAAAATGAATGCTCAGTTTTCTAAAATGCCTCACTGCACCTTAAAGTACTTTCAGAAAGTAGCAGCTAAGTGTAGGTGTGTTGTTGGATCACCAAACATGGCACAGTCAAATACTGGTTTTATTTAAATATTCAAAATCAAGAGGTGCATCCTTAGTCATAACATACAATTATTTTCTGAGATGATATCTAATAAAGAGGCATCATGTACTAATCAAAATGGAGGAGCGCAAAACAAAATATGTCTCATGAAATTTTATTCTCCAAATGAATTAAAGATGATTTAGGATTGACTTCATTGTTTTATTCCTACTGAAGAAGTATCTACTTAGTAGGGTATCTGGCTTTCCTATTCCCTGAGTATTTATTATCTGCATTTCTCCGCATGTGTCCAAGATCGATAATTATCAGGGTCTCTCACTTTTCAGTCCTTGGTCATCACAAACTCAGCAAAGCGCTCCTCTACTGTTGGAGAAATTGTCAACTTGATGTCAGTGGATGCCCAGCGGTTCATGGATTTGGTGACTTTCCTGAACATGTTATGGTCGGCACCACTTCAGATTTGTCTAGCTTTATACTTCCTCTGGCAGGTACAGGAACCATCACATTTGTCAGAGTTTTTATTTCAGTGACACGCAGCCTAGTTTTTCTTTGTTGAATTCGCCACCATTTTCAGAAACCTCCTCTCATTCTGTCTTGTTTTGGCATAGAATGATTGACACCAACTTACCAAATTTCCTGCATTTGATTGAATACATGTGCCCTGGATGAGTGGATTTCAGGCTGTTACACCCTTTAGAGCAGTGGTCACCAACCAGTCGATCGCGATTGCCTGGTCGATCCTAGAAGATCTCCCAGTCAATCGTGATCTCCGGCAGTGCAGCATGGCTGCCACTAAGGCAGACTCCCTACCCCGGCCCCATGCCGCTCCTGGATAGGGTGACCAGATGTCCCAGTTTTATAGGGACAGTCCCGATTTTTGGGTCTTTTTCTTATATAGGCTCCTATTACCCCCAACCCCTGTCCCGATTTTTCACACTTGCTGTCTGGTCACCCTACTCCCGGAAGTGGCTAGTGTGGCCGCGGAGACAGGGTGTCTCCTTTTGTGCACTGCTCCTGCCTGCAAGTACCGCTCCTGCAGCTCCTATTGGCCGGGAGAGCTACGGGAGGCAGTGCACGGAGCCCCCCAGGGGCCGCAGGGGCGTGTTGGCCCCTTCCGGGCGTGGTGTGGGGAGATGCAGGAGGGGGCTCCGGGCTGGGGCAAAGTGATCTTGGGTAAAAATGTTGGAGACCACTGCTTTAGAGGTTTGCTCTTTCTTACTGCTGTAAAGTAATCTAACTTTGCAGTACACAGCGACATAATGAGCCACTGGTGACTTTGTAGCATTTTATGTCCAAATACAGAGACAGACCCTCTGACTCAGGCTGAGGATGCCCTCCCTCATGTATTAACATTCAGGGTGATTGGGGTTTTTTGTCAATTACAGTTCCCTGTATCAGAGAGAAGTCAGGGGAAATGCCCTCCCTCTCGGTTCTCCATTCCCTGCCTGTAAATATTTGGTATCTTTTCATATACGGACTGTATTTTTTTTTCCTGAGGTTTGTGGTGGTGCTCTCTACATCTATTAAGATGCTCTATTTGCATTAGTCCACTGCTGTATTCCCCTTCCACCATGAGCAATTTCGCAAATAAATTGCAAGAGCTCTCAGATATCATCGATGCTAGTATAGTACTGGTCGCTCCCGATCAATACTGTGATCTAGACTTTATACAACAAGAAGAGGGGAAGCAGAGTCAGAATGCCCCAGTGGGAGGGTGGAAATTCACACTGTTGTTTCAAATACGTGTTAGTGAAGCAATCGCTTCTTCTTTACCAAACCCAGCTTCTTTCAATGCTATCTACCGGAGATGACCTTATTTCATGGAGAGCAACAACTTACATTGTCTCTTTTCCTATCAAGACTTTAGGGCCTTCTGTGTTGGCGGGGGTTGCAGTGATGATCTTACTAATCCCATTGAATGCTGCAATTGCGATAAAAACCAGAGCGTTCCAGGTAGGTAACGTTAAGAATAGTCCATAACCCAAGGTGGTGGCTCTTCTAGAAAGGTGGAAGGAGTCAGAGTCTTTTTAGTGCCTATTGAATCGAAAGTGCAATGTGTTTGTGTACATTGGATGAGATGCTGTCAATCAAAAGAATCATGAATGGGACTTTTCAGTATCATCCAGTGTTGGCTTAATTCTGCTGCTCCCATTGAAGTCAATGACAGTTTTACCATTGATTTCCATAGGAGCAGAGGGAGGCCAGCACTGAACACTTTTGAAAATCCCACTCCATTTTTTTTTTACATTCCTTCCCTGTGTTACTACAAATAACTCAGTGATTCAGCTTCATGAATCTTTAAAATCTGATGTTACTTTTCTCCATTGATGTTGCTTGGGTCCTGTTTTGCATTTCACTCGGCTTGAATATTGAAGCTGGACAGGTCATTTTTTATTACATTCTCTGACACAAGCCAAATGCTATTGTGTTTGAGTTGCAAACACTGCAGGGCAGTGTTTTAAAAGAAGTCACTGAAACGTAAAGACAATACTTTCTCTCTCTCTCTCTCTTTTTTTTTTAACCTTCCCATACCACCTTTTTTTTTTTAAACAAACAAATCTGCATTCCAGACCTCAGCTGCTTGAGAAAATCCCTTGTAAGAGGCTCTCTGACTTGACTTTGGATCAAAGCCATAGATGAAATGAAAGGGGCCCTGAAGAAAGCTTGGGCGAGTAATTAATGAGCCGGGTCTCCAAGGTTGGATCCCGCTGTGGGATCATGGCCACAAGAAGGACAAATGTATACAGAAGATTAGGCTATTATTTTGTTTGCTTTGAGTACATAAGAGCAAATATAAGAGCTATTCTTAGTGATAAACAGAGGTTGTCAGCCAGACTGAGTCCAGATTAAATCGTTACACGTTATCTGCAGAATCTCATCTCTTACCATCCATGAGCTAAACTGAACTAGTTTCATTTTAGTTAGTGCTAACAATTTTAATACTAATGGAGATTGCACTAATAATTTAAAGAGCCAGGTCTCCTCACAGACCTCCCCTAGTGCAAGCAAGAAAATTGAGTGTTTGAATGATTCACTGTTCAAGCGAAAGATGTGCAGAATGATGCCAGGTGCTCTTCCAAGCAACCCCCAGTCTGAAGGGGACCTCTACTGGGACAAGAGGATAATTCCCTCATCTCTATACCCATTCAGTTGGTGGCCCCTACTGTGAGTAGGGTGACCAGATAGCAACTTTGAAAAAACAGGACAGGGGGTTGGGGGTAATAGGCGCCTATATAAGAAAAAGTCCCCATAAACGGGACTGTCCCTTTAAAAACGGCACATCCGGTCACCCTAACTGTGAGTGCCTAGAAAGAGGGCAGATGTGTTGGTGTATTTGTGCTATGGATTTCTATCCTCTAAGGTAGAAATTAAAACTGCCAATTCATTTCTTGTAGACTATTGGAAAGTCAACAGTGAAGATGCCTTTCATCCGTGCCAACCCTGGCCAAATTTGAACTGCTGACTTTAAGATGAAAGGAACCTTTGTTCCATTAGCAATCTCTGTGGTCATCCACACTCCATGAGTAGTGCAATACTAATGCAACAAAGTCCTTTGGCTTGTAGCTGGAAAAATCCAGCTAAGAGATTATGCTGAGTAATGGGATGTCATAATCTCTTAGTGACTGTTTGGAGTTGGTTTTTTTTTTTTTTTTTTTTTTTTTGAGGTAAAGAGCCCAACCCTTGAGGTTAAATAGTGTCAGAATTGAAAAGTAAATATAAATAGTTACAATAGCTTCAGCTTTAGTAGCAGAACAACATAGTTACATTCCACAAAACCTTGAGACAGCCAACAGATCTGCCAGTTAATCACTACCTAATAAATATTAGCATTTCTTTTCTCCCTTGACCTATAAGGAGGTGGTTAGGGCTGAGTAGAGAGTGTGTGGATTCCAAGCAGGTGAGGTGTTACATTTAATTTTTTATTATATCCACATTCTATCCTGGGGATTTGATCTGGGGATAATGGAGTGGAGACGGTTTTCGTTAAAATACACTGCTAAATAATGAAGGGCACCCAGACATTTAAATAGGCACTTCTAAAATTGTACATCAGTAAAAATCTAAATAAAGAAAGGAAAGAATTAGGGTAGCATTTTCAATAGTGCCTAAGTCCCACTGGAAGACACTTTTGAAAATTTACCCCTAGACAATAAAGTTGATTAGAATGCACTTGTATTTCTAACAATTTATGTGATACACTGCCTGCCTTTTGTGTCTGCCTAAAAATATCGATAGATTTTTTTTTTAACAATGTTATTCGGAATAATTTAGGTGGAACAGATGCGGTATAAAGATTCCCGCATTAAACTAATGAATGAGATTCTGAGTGGCATAAAGGTTCTGAAGCTTTACGCGTGGGAACCATCCTTCCAGGAGAAAGTGCTGGAGATACGAAAGAATGAGCTCCGGGTTCTGAAGAAAGCAGCATATCTAAATTCTTTGTCCACTTTTGCATGGATCAGCGCACCATTTCTGGTAAACTTCATTTGTATTGCTTCCACAAATAGGTATGAAAGCTATCAGGGCACAAAATAGAAGGTGAAATGCAGAGCCCTTAAATAGACTGTCTGCATATCAAATGGGTATTGGAATAAACATGTGTATTTAAAAATCATACATACGCTTTAAAACAATTTAATACTTTACTGTTCTGTGACACTGTTCATCAAAGTTTTTTTCAGTGACGTCTCACAGTTAGAGCTGGGCACAAAATAGCTTTCCCATCCTGTGGAAATTTTTGAGATTTCAAAAAATGTTTCCGTCCCAAATCAAGACAAAAAGTCGAAATCTTGAAAAATATTGTGCACCAAAAATCAGGGGGAGAGTAGGGGATTTTATATTGGGTTAATCAAAATGTCTTGTATAGATTTCAGCCTCATTTTATGTATTTATTTATTTTACTTGAACTTAATTTTTTAAATGAAAAGTCATTTTGACCTTAAAAACTGAACTTTTTTCATTCTGGAAATGTCAAAATGGGAAGTGTCAACAATTCTGAAATGTAACGGGAAACTTTTTCATGAAATTGTTTGTGGGGAAAAGATTGGTTTTAAATTGGCATTTCTGATGAAAAAATATTTTGTCTCAAAGTTCCTGAGCAGTTCTCCTCACTATGCCCTCGTACAACATAGACACAGACATTGGGGGCAGGTGAAGAGCCACATTCTTTCCTCCCTCTCAGACTTTCCTGTTAAATTCCTTTTGATTTAGCTGTAGATCTCATGCATTCTCATCACCGGTCCCCACTAGCTTGTTGTGTGTGATTGTAGCTATTTTGTGAGTGGTAAATATTATTGTCCCTATTTTATGGAGGGGTGCACAAGGTTACACAGAGTCCGTGGCATAGTTGGGAATAGAAGCCAAGAATCCTATGCAGTAAATACTAAGAAATTCCTTTTTGACTTACTAGAAAATGAGTTTCTCCTTTGCTTTCCTGCCAAGACTCCTTGGTTTATGTTTTTGTGGTTGGTCTCCAATGGCCAATGATACTGAAGTTAACAATGAACAAATTGGAGTGGAAGGAACAAGAAAGTGGCCTGAACTTGTCCCAGAGCACAAACCACACCCTAATAAATACACCTTAAACTTTTATGTACTCACAAGAGTCTTGCAGTTCACCTTTAAATCTCAACTTTCAATGAAATATAATCAGCAAATAGTCTTGTTCTGTAGACATTAGCATCATTTGTGTGGTACAATGGCTTGTCTTTTAAAGCACATTGGGATTTGATATATGAAAAGATAAAAAGCAGTAGAGAATTGGTCCAGTTCTGACTCCAATGATTTTATTTCTAACATTATCAGTTAGGCCTGAATGCTCTTAACAAATCAAGAGGGCTTTTTTGATCAAACACACTTTCTGGCTTTCAGGTTGCACTGACCACATTTGCAGTATATGTCAGTGTGGATGAAAATAATATTCTGGATGCAGAGAAAGCCTTTGTCTCCCTCTCCTTGTTTAATATCCTAAGGTTTCCACTCAACATGCTTCCACAGGTCATTAGCAACCTTGCACAGGTAAGGAAGGTCTTGTTCATTATTTGCTTCAAATTCAAAAAACAATGGTATCTCTTGATTTTAAACTGGACTGTGAAATATGACAATTCAAGGTGTCTCCCATACTCTTTTTAATGTTCTTTTAGTAGCACTGCACTATTACCAGCCTTGTTGCTTGTGAACGAGCCTGTGTTTTGTGGCATTTCGTGTGAGTTTTGCTTCACTTAAGCAAATTTACTTTATCTCAAAAATGACACAGCTCAGATCTTGACGTTTGGGCTACAACCCATCCCAGGGAAGGAATGAGTCATGGTTCATGAACTCCACATGGTAAAAGCATGAGCCTGCTTCCCTCCTGACGGGAAGGAGACTGGTTTCTCGTTTTAAAGACTATGAAATAATGCCTCCCTTTTTTTTGTTAGACAAGTGTTTCCCTGAAGAGAATTCAGCAGTTCCTGAGTCACGATGAGCTTGATCCAAATTGTGTGGAAACCAAGGTGGTTACTCCAGGTAAAGAGGAGATGGTGTGGATGATGGGGGTGTGCATGTGTGTGTCTGTGTGGGTTTGGAGAGGGAGAGTGCATAGAAAACCCCAAACTTGCAATATTTATCAATAGGCTACTTGGATTACAAAAGAATCAATTAATAATAATGCCTGTGAATTCAGAAAGGAAGTCCTTTCCTGGAAAATGCTTGTTTGCCCTCAAGACAGTGTGGAAACTACCAAGGTTTCTGGCTGTATTCGTGAGGCATGAGCTGTTCTTTTAAAATGCTCTGTATTTGAGTCTGTATTTGTAATGTAACGGATACTAACAGCGTATCATGCTTTGGAGCATCAGCTGATCATCAGGGGCCAGGCAGGGCCATGTTTGGCATTGCATAAATGCATAGGGGTGATACGCAGGTTTTGGGGGGCAGGGAAGGTCACTTACTTCTGTTGGCCACTGCCAGAGACACAGGATCCCAGATTCAGTCAGAAAACGGTCTGATCTCATAAGATTCATGAAGCGTTCTCCTGTAACGCATTCTTGTTGTTCTTTGATTTAAAGCTTCTTTTGTCTTCAAGATTGGAAGGGGGCAGGAGATGCAAGGCAGCTGCCATGTGATTACTATTACAGGCCTACCATTCCACAAGGAGATGAATAAAGCCTGATGATCTGTAACTTGTTAGGTCAGCAATATGGCAGGCCTAAACTTGGACATGGACCTCCCCAGCAAACTGCCAACCTTTTACTGACGATGGAATAGTCCCTTGAGTGATGTGATGTAATTATCACAGCGGGATGTTGAAAACTGTACTGGGCAATTCAGGTGATAAGCTGCTCTAGGGACCAGTCCTGCCGGGGCAGGGAGATAAACAGCTTTCTCATGTCTCAGTTCTGTGATTTCATTTACTCTGAACAGTGTTCCCTTGTGACTGAGCAGACCACAAATGTTACTTCCCATGCCAAGAGAAAAGGGAATGGAAATGAACACAAAACTTCCGTAGTGTTGTATAAATAAATGTCCTCCAACTGTTCTCCCTTTTCAGTAGAAAGGCCTCACTCAGCACCATTATGCACAACACTTTTCCCACCCTCTCTATTATGTTCTGTTGTACAGGCTACGCCATCACTGTAACAAATGGGACATTCAGCTGGGCAAAGGAGCTCAAGCCGTCTCTGAAAGAGTAAGATTTCTTTATACAATTCCAGTACAGCACCTACCTGCTTCCCTCTGTTTGTTGTCTCTAGCGAAATCAGTTTCAAGGTTGTTTAACGTTAAACCAGTAGGGCGTTCGGTTTCATTGTTACAAAGTTATATTATCCAATCTCCTGCACACGTCTTTGTTTTTTAAACATCAGACCAATTTGCTTGTCCCATATTATTATGCTGTACAAAGCCTAAATATTACAGAGCCTAGAAACTGCAATGACGGGCATATCGTAGGTAGATTAAGGGACAGATGGAGTAAATTAATTTCTAATGTAGATAATACATATTTACTGGCCCAATCTGTTGACCGGGAAAATCAGATTATCTCATGGGCTGCTAGTAGTGCTATTGAGAGAGTTGGGATCTACATGTTGGGCCTTGAAGACTTTAGTTCACGGACATAAGAACACTTTTTCTGTTCTTCGAAGGATTTTGGGTCATACCCATCCCCGTGGTATCTCAGGGTCTTTTTGAGAACCTCTATTTGCAGCCTTCTCCCCGAGCCTCCCAGTTTTGGTTTGACCCCCCGTTTGAACAAAGTCAAATCTAATTGTGGCTAAAAAGTTGCACATTTTGCCTAGTTTCAGGTCAAAATCAAAGGCACTTGAGCATTTACAACACGTTTAGCACACTGTCGCATAAGTAGAAACTTTTCCGTGGCTCCGGCCTGCTTGAAAAGCGCAGGTTCTGCAAGAAGTTCAACAGAGACAGCTTGTGTTTTGTAACAAAATCTGAAACCAGGGAAACTTCCCTGTTCTGGGGTTTCTTTCTGACAGATCCATGCAGCTGTAACTAGAATTATTAGCCACCAAAATCACTGTCCCTTAAAATGCTGGGGAGGGGAATATGCTACTGGATATGGAGGATAATGAGGAAAGGTTTTGAATTTTGGTGGTCAATCCTGCTTTGAATGCTTTTTTGAAAGCCTGGTTACATATGAAAAGCTCCTGTAGGTAATGAAAGGAGTCTGAGGAATGGCTTCGGTCCCAATTCTGTGTCTAGTTCTGTGCATATGGGGCTGGCATTGACTTCAGAGGGACTATGTAAAGGTAGAGGGGTCCAATCATACAGATCTGCAGGAGAATTAGGGCCTGAGACAAGACTTTAGACCATTTTGGAAGAAAATTATATTTGGAAGGGTTTTGCTTTCCCCTGTCGTGCCATTATCAATTCTATTTACTAACACTATAAATATTTTAAGTTAAATGGTTTAAACAAGGCACTTAATCCCTCAACATTTCCAGCCAGGTGTTCTTGCTGAGAAAGGCCCTGAGATCATCTGATTCCTTCCAAAAAGGTTATTAACCCTTTGTAACCAATAAGCTGATATAATTTGTAAACAGGGTCTTATAATGGAAAGTCTAGGTCAACCTTATCTATAGGCATTGCTACCAGCTCTCCTGATACTCTCAATGAATTTGGTGCATATGTAACACTGACAGACCCCAGTCATCGGCGGGATTGAACCTGGGACCTGTGGAGCTTAGTGCATGAGCCTCTACTGCATGAGCTAAAAGCCAACTGGCTATAGAGCTGCACACTCATTAATCTCTCTAAGTGGTCTCGGTGCCACTAGATGGGACACAACACCACACCCAGGAGGTGTGTGGGTTACACATACCACACGGGTAATGAGGAAATTGTCCTGAATCATAAGTGGGGTTCCTATGTGCTACTGCAGTACAAATAATACTCATAATAAGCATGCTTAAAAAGAAGTGGTGGGGGGAACCAACAACCCAGCTACATTTACTATATCGTTTTATGTGCATTTGCTGAGGTAGGGGGGGATTGTGAGTGCATACATCAGACTAAAGGAGCTGTAATGTCTTTAGTAAACTAACATTTCATTAATTTTCAGCCTATTTCTTCCACAGTATAAATTTGTTGGTCCCCAGTGGTTCTTTGGTTGCTGTTGTTGGCCATGTTGGCTGTGGGAAGTCTTCACTGGTATCAGCTCTTCTTGGTGAAATGGAAAAGCTAGAAGGACATGTGGCAGTGAAGGTGGGTTCTAGATAGGATGGTACGTCAAAATAATGTATGAACACACCTAGCATATTATATACATGCACATAGTGAATTGTTATATATTAATACGCTATGTATATATAGTCAGCTTGGACAGAGAATTCAGGGCTGTCTGTACTTTTACCAACTTCTCTGGATGCTTGTTTGGGTTTTGCTCATTACGTTTCATTAAATTAAACAGTTGTGGTTTTTCCTGAGATTTCTACTGTACATCAGCAATTAGTGCATGTGTATGTACAATATATATGTACTGTAGTGTATGACTATGTATGTGCATATTACATATAGATTTGAATTAGCTCTGTAATTGTAAATCACAGTTCATTAAAGGTAAATCCATTCCACAATGAATAGTAAATCACAGAGGTTTGGTTTTTTTTCATTTTAGGGATCTGTTGCTTATGTTCCACAACAAGCCTGGATTCAGAATGCCACCCTGAAAGATAATATTTTGTTTGGCCAACAACATAATGAACAGAAGTACCAAAATGTCCTGGAGGCCTGTGCTTTAAAAACTGACCTTGAAGTACTTCCAGGGGGAGATCATACTGAGATAGGAGAGAAGGTAAGGCCCTTACCCGCAACATGCACAATGATGTCTGCTCTGTCTGTGCGATAGAAATAATGCTTTATATTTAGACCTTGATCCAGCAAAGTTTTTAAGCAGATGCTTAACTTTAAGCTTATGTTTAAGTCCATCCTATTAAACAAAGCTCTTAAGTATGGGCTTAACTTTAAGTGCGTGTTGAAGTGCTTTGCTGACTGGGGATCATAGACCTGATCTTGTGAGATACGGAGCATCCTCCACTCCCAATCAAGTTCTGAGTGTGATAAGGAATTCTGTCCATGGCAGTTTCAGAATCCATGCTCCTCCACGTGGTGGGAATGTGATACAACTCACACCAAGCATGGTATAGGATCCTCTCCTAACTCCACATTCAAAATAGAAATCAGCTTGTTACACAACTGTTTCCCAAACTAAAGATGGTTTTGCAGAGGCTCACAAGTTTCTTGCCAGCGTGGACAGTGTTGTGTGACCGTGAGTGGATATATTGAATCACCTGGAAAGCAGGAACAATGTGGCAAACATTACCGTTTCAGCTGAATCTTGCTTTGAATTTGTGTTTTGTGTCTCGTTTGGCAGATTTTGGTTTTGATTTTTAGCAGCCCCATTTAAGAATTCATTTGGTTCCAGGGCTCTTGTAAGTTGCTACAAAGAATTTTCCATTTGTAAGTTGCCAAATTCTTTCCTTTCAGATAGCAGTGCATGCACAAGCAGCTTTATTAGAGTTCCGTTTCCCCCTTCAACTCTACCTGTGCTATTCTATTCAGGCCCTTCTACTGTGCCCATCACCATAGCATCTGAGTGCCTGTGAGCCGTAAGGATGCCCCTGCTATTGCTTGGATTAAATTGTGTTGTAGGTGATGTGTTTTGTCCTCTCCTTCCACCTTGCAGGGCATCAATCTTTCGGGTGGCCAAAGGCAGAGAGTGAGCATTGCCCGCGCTGTGTTCAGTGACGCTGATGTGTACCTGTTAGATGACCCTCTTTCAGCTGTGGATTCCCACGTTGCTAAGCACATCTTTGACAACGTTATTGGACCAGAAGGGGCACTTAAAGGAAAAGTAAGCCTGTGTTGGGATTTTCTTTTCTATACACACACGTGATCCAGAACTATCAGGGGTTAACTGGCCTGCTGTTTTAGCGCTGGGAGTTGAGTTCTGAATAGCTCCCTGATTTCTTCATTTCATTGTACTTTTGGAAAAGGTGCCCATTGCCAGATGCTCAGTCGAGAGCTATTGTTCTGACATGTCCAAGGGTGGGGAAATAAAAGCTCTTAAGCCTGGATAGTGTTTCTTCAAGTCCTGTGGAAACTTGTTCTCCCATGGAAACTAAAACCTGACACTGCTGAAAACAAAATATATGGAGGAATTTAGAGCAGCCCCGTCCTTACTGTTGCTTGTCACTGTCCTGGGGCAGCTCAGGGTGGGGTAATGGTGGGGGAATGTTGTGAACCACTTAGCATTTCTACAGAACTCTGTGGTATTCTGTTGTCTAAAGGTTGCTGATTCAGGGTCTTGTCAGATCTCATGTGCAGCATCAAGCTATGTCAGAGCTCCGAGGGGAGACCGCAAGAAAAACAGTCTTACAGGAAGCGGTCTTGATGATTCAGCAATTGGCATTCGTCGCTGAGTCCGCACTGAGCTAGTTTCCCCACTGTGGTGTTAGTGGGCTGCTGCCATTTTTAAAGCGAAGGCCCTGTCACCATTAAATATTCCTTTAATTCTCTTCACAAGAGTCAGGGGTTTTACACCTAGTGTCTTAGCCGAATTCCACTACATTCTGTCTAAATGCCTCCTGATATTTCACCCGTATCCGATATTCACTTTTTATCCTAAAAATGTTACATAGCGATTACTGCGTGTTGTTAAACAGCTGCAGCGTTCCACCCCAGAGGCAGCTTGGTAGCACTGACTTGTTTCATTCTCCCATACAGACCCGAATGCTAGTGACCCATGGCGTCACCTTTCTGCCTCAGGTGGACCATATTGTGGTCCTTGTGGATGGCAAAATCTCTGAAATGGGATCCTACCAAGAGCTTTTGAAGCAAAATGGGGCTTTTGCAGAATTTCTTCGAAATTATGCACCTGATGAAGACATAGAAGAGGATGAGCTAACAAGTACAGCAGTTCTTATTCGTCTTAAATCATAGCTTTTGTATCAATCAGGTCATGAATTTCCCTATATATAAATGTAACCTGCTCCTGCGATACATGCCTGTAGGGAAATGTAATAGTCCGGCCTTAGATTCCGTTTTTTTTCTCTAGCTAGTAATGAAAATGTTAGGTACTGTGAGGGTTTTTTTTTTTTACGCTTACTAAGCTGGCATGGTGTAAGTTAACCCATCCAGTGTACTGAATGCAAGTTGGTAATACTGAAGTTTAAGTAAGCAAACATATTTCTTTCCTCTTGCAAAAGAACTTACCCAATCTGCCTGAGGCTAAGTACTTGTTTTCTAAGATAATGTAAGAAATTACTTTCCCTCAGTGTTTTGAATACAGAGAAATCCTTTTTATGGTTGGCAAAGACAGGATCAGTGGGAAAACGTAGTGCCCTTTGGATTCTATTTTTCCAAAGGGGTACCCAGAGCACAGTATTTCTGTTACATAGCATGACACAAATGTCATTTTAATCTGGATTTCTTCTAGGCCTAATTTGTCCCTGATTAGATGGCGGAAGATGGAAGTATTTTGGCAAATGTTTCCTGTGTATGGCTGTATTCCCATAAAGTTTGGCTGCAGAAGTGTGTATCCTGACAAACAAGATGCCAGAGGTTGTACACAACCTCTTCTAGCAATAATAGACATTTACAGCAGCTTCCTAGACTCTCAATCCTTCATCCCAAGATAATGGGACAGCAGGGCAGGTTCTGCTCATGAGTTTGGTTAGATACAATTACAATATACTGCTACTTAGCCCTTACGGCACATAGCTTCCAAAGTGCTTTGCCGACATTAATCTTCACAACAGCTCTGTGAGATGGGAGCGTTGTGGGGAGACAAAGGCATAGAGAGGATGTGAATCAGCCAAGTTGCAGAGGGAGTTGGTGTCAGAGTTAGCTTAGAAATCAGGAGCTTCTTGCTGCCAGTTCTGTCTTCGGATCACACTTTTCTCCGGAATAGCAAAAGTTACCAAACGCACTAGCTCCCTGCAATTACGCGGCACTGCAGTCTCAAACAGACTTCCGAAGCCACTGTGAGCTTCATAACGCTTATCCTTCAACTAGCGTATTTGCCTCTGGCTTTTGACACCAGTTTCCTATAAGCTGCCCTCAGCAGAAAGCTAAAATGCAATCTTTTATTACAGTGCTGGAGGATGAAGAGGTCTTGCTCGCTGAAGATACACTCAGCAACCACACTGATCTGGCAGATAACGAGCCTGTGACAAACGAGGTCCGCAAGCAGTTCCTTAGGTAGGCCTGATGTCCTCTTGTGAATGAAGCCCTCAGCTGGGCTGAGGCACCTTTTTAAGGAGCCCGTCTTTAACACGAGCAGCTAATTAATGTTGCTCTCCAGTCTGACCCACTGTACTCTGCATCTTTCAGCATAGACTTTAGTTTCGTCTTTGTATTAAAGCCTCCTGTGTCCTTATAATTTTAAATTAAAACATATAGCACAGGAGACAAAACCTGTACTCCTATGAACCCGTTAATGAGAAGTGTATTAATATGAGCAATGATGTAGTTTTCAGACTGCTGCCATGAATATTTACACACACAGCTTCAACCTGCTGCCGATTAGATTAATAATATGCCTTTGCAATAGCACCTTTCATCTGAGTATCTCGGAACTCTTTAAAAGCATTAATGAATGGAGCCTTGTTCGCTCCATTTTACATGTGTGGAAACAGAAGAAGAGAGAGATTAGGCACCTGAGTTTCAAAATGTTGGCCTTAAAATTAGGCACCTAAATATGCCACCTGATTTTCAGACGTGCTGAGCACTTGCAACTTCCATCGACTTCGATAGGAACTGTCTTCTCAACGCCTCTGAAAATCAGACCATGTAAGTAGGTGTCTAACTATGGATTTATGTGTCTGACCTTGGGCCCCCCATGTATACACCTGTGACTTGCCCTCAAGTCTCAGAGGGAGTCAGGGGCAGAGCTGGGAGCTGCGCCCCAGTCCTGTGTTTGAACCGCTATGCTATGCTGCCTCTCCGCTAATAAATCCATCGTTTCGACTAGGCAAATTAGTGTGATCTCTTCAGAGGGAGAATGTCCCAAGAAGATGTCCACGAGAAGACGAGTGTGTGAAAAGAAGTCTGCAGAGCCGCCTCAACCACAAAAAATTCTCACTGATAAGCTCATTCAGGCAGAAACCAGCGAAACAGGAACGGTAGGGGGTTGTTGGTTTTTTTCCCTTATTTTTCTCCAATTATAAAAAGTCACTTTTTATTACATATATAATATGTAATAACATTCTATTAAATGTTTCATTTAACATATAGAGACATTGGCATTGCAAAAGCCAAACAGACTATAGCATTTGTCCTACTGGAGTAGGCTGCTCCTGCTTTAAATCTAGGGTCCTTCTGCACCTGGCCTGTGCTATATATTTAGGAGAGAGAATTTCTTCCTGGTCCTGCTGTGAGCATCTTATGTCCTGAAGCATGATGTTTGATCACTCCATCGTCACACGGCACAGGTCTAAACGTTGTTTGTTTCAAAGTGATCAAATCCCTTTTTAAATCCAGCTGTAGGATTTGATTCTCACCACCTGCAGCAGCAAATTCTGTGGGCCAACGGCATGCCATGTGAATACGTGTTTATTTTAATTTAAATTTTAGCTTTGGTTACCTTTTGATAGAGATTTTTGCTACACACAAATGTTGAGACAAGTATATATTGCAGCCTGTGTGCTACATTGGATTGGGATCTGCCTTGTAAGAGTAACTGTGATATATTGAAGGATGACGGATTAAATTGGGGGTGGAGGGGATTGAGAAGACTGAGCACAGGAAAGAAAGAAAATATAATGAAAATAACCAGGGAGTTTGTGTCACCAAAGAGAGGTCTTAGATTGTCACACAACTGAGCAACAGTGAGAGTATTTTCTACACATTAAATGTTGTAGATGCTCAGTGTCACAGACATCGGGGAGCTGTTGGTTAAGCATTATTTGTTGGTGGTGTCGATTTTCTTTATGAGCTTTTGAAAAGCACCTAAATCAATGGGATTTGTGCATCTAATAATCTCCCCTTTATATTCTTTTAGAGATTTCATTGGGGCCCCTCTGTCCCTTCCCACAGTAATGACTTTTTGAGCCAGAGTTGTTAACTTGGAGATAGAAGTTTTACCCTGTTACTTTGCTTCACACGTTTCTTTTGTTCAAGTGCCTCTGTATGATTTTTTTCCCCTCAAACTTTTGGCCAAGACTTTCAAAAGTGACTCAGGAATGTTGGGTGCCCCAAGCTGAGATGTGGTAAAGAGACCTGATTTTTTCGAAGGGTGGACTGCTCAGCCCTTTCTGTAAATCACCCCAAATCACTACTCACTCCTGAAAATCTCGACCTTTGCCTTCTACAGCCCTCAGCTCTGCTCCGCTACCTTTCACCCTATATCTTTAAACATTGTAATAAAATACAGATAGTTGGAAAAGAGAAAAGAAACCTGAATATTTCACAGCAATCACCATTGACTCTCAGTAGAGATGCAACAGAACTACCTGTTTTAAAGCTGCGACCCGGATGTTGAGCTCAGTCAGATAAATTTCACTCCCTGCACTACAATATGTTAGTATTTCTGACAATTTCCAGTTTACTGGGCCGTCTACTGGAGAGATTTCCCTCTGGTCACTCTTGTTATTTCTGTGAACTCCAGACAGCAATTGAATGTACTTTGTAAATATATTGTGCTTTACACATTTACAGGTAAAGCTGACAGTGTTCTGGCAGTACATGAAGGCTGTTGGCCTCGTGACTTCTTTAGTTATATGCTTCCTGTATGCCTGTCAAAATGCTGCTGCGATTGGGGCCAATGTATGGCTTAGTGACTGGACCAATGAACCTGTCATAAACGGCACTCAGCATAACACAAGCATGCGAGTCGGAGTATATGCTGCTCTGGGACTCTTGCAAGGTAAGAGCATTTCTCCAATTAATACAGTTAAAATATTTAGATGCACCCTTTCTGAGCAAAGAAGGGCATACTGGGAAAGGCATAACAATAGCCACGGGGGGCTCTGAGCTTCTAAAACCTGAGCAAGGGCAGCAGAACACCACAAAACTGGTAAAATTTGTCCGAATCAACACTTCAAAGGCTGCATGGTGGAAGTGAAGGAAGGATTGAGAAGGCTGGAGAATGATGGAAACTGAGAAGGAGGGGAGAAGGGAAGGGGGCTGAGAAGTAGAGGAGGGTGTAAATTCCTGGATGGTAGAGGTGATGCAGAGGTCAGGATTGAGGCGCACTGTGTGGAGGACTTGTAGAAGGGTGAGGGAGTCTATATTTATAAACAATAAGGGTTGGCTGTCTGAATCCTGCAGACCTTACTCCTGTAAGTAATCTCACTGAAGTCAATGGTTAAATCACCCGTGACCAGCATGTACTGGGACTAATGTGATTGAAGGCTGTAGGGCCCTGATGTAGTAATGAGGAAAGTCTGCTGGCACAATATAAACTGCTGGATCAGTAAAAGTCAAAAGCTGCATCTTATGAACGGCATATTCACAAACCTCTGCACATTTCTTCTTCGTATAACAGGCCTGCTCGTGCTGATCTCTTCCTTCACCCTGGCGATGGGTGGCATCAACGCAGCCCGAACACTCCATGCTGCGCTGCTGGAGAACAAGTTTCACACCCCACAGTCTTTCTTCGACACCACTCCCACAGGCCGAATCATCAACCGCTTCTCTAAGGACATATATGTGATTGATGAAGTGATACCACCCACCATCCTGATGTTCCTAGGAACCTTCTTCACCTCTGTGTCAACTATGCTTGTAATCATATCGAGCACCCCGCTCTTCGCTGTGGTTATAATACCTCTAGCAATTATATATTTCTTTGTACAGGTAACTATGTCTGACTGCCAACCTGATGATCATTATGGTACTGTTCCTACTCTTTAGTTTAGAGCACTTAATTTAGGAGTTTGGAACATATTATCTCTGCACTGATATTACTGGTAATAGCCTCCCCAGGGCAGTGGTAGGAGACGCGTCTTTTTAAATCTTTTGTTTAGCTTATAAAAAAGATCAGGAGATAACTTGATTATGGTGTTATAAGTACCTTCATGGGGAGAAAATACCAGGCATTAAAGGGCTAATCTAGTGAGAAAAGGCATAAGAAGAATCAATGGCTGGAATTTGAAACAAGACAAATTCAAGTTGGAAATAAGGCACAAATTTTTAATGGTTTGAGTGATTAACCGCTGCAATGAACTGTCGAGGCAGGTGTTGGGTTTTGTTCTTTTGATGTCTTCAGATCAGGACTGGATGTATTTCTGAAAGATATGATTTAGTCTAACATAAATGATTGAAGAAGAGCTCTGGGTAAGCTTGAAAGCTTCTCTCTTTCAGCCACAGAAGCTGGTCCAATACCAAATATTACCTCACCACCTTGTCTCTAATATCCTCGGACCAACATGGCTACAGCAATACTGCATACAAATGATTGGGCTTCTTTACAGGGGTAACGGGGTGAAATTCTCTGGCCTGTGTTATACAGGAGGTCAGGCTAGATGGTCACAATGGTCCCTTCTAGCCTTAGGATGTATGAATGAGCCATGGAGACTGAATTCCCTTCTGACTCCTACATGCAGGGTCTCTAAGTCATGCAAAAAGTCACGCTCGGTGGGCTCTGAGGCAGGCCTGCATTGCCATTGTGTATGCTGTATCTGTGGGTACAATTCTGAATCTTTTGGTAGGTTCACAACTTTTTGGCAGTGAGATGCCATTTTCCTTGATTACATGTGGAGGCAAATAGGGCCCGATCCAAAGGCTACTGAAGCCAATGGAAAACCCTCAGAGTGTGGTCTTGTCACTATCATTTAAGTAGCCGTGGTTAATCACTATTGTTCTTTACTGTTAGCGTTAACGTCTGGACTGTTTCAGATATTTTCTTTGTTCGCATAAATTACTAATATTTCTTTTGTGTGTTTGTGTTTAATGATGGCAGCGGTTCTATGTGGCTACCTCTCGCCAGTTAAAGCGCCTGGAATCTGTTAGCAGATCCCCCATATATTCCCATTTTTCGGAAACAATCACAGGGGCCAGTGTCATCCGAGCCTACGGGAGAGAAAATTCCTTTGTATGCCTGAGTGACTTGAAAGTGGATGAAAATCAGAAAAGTTATTTTCCTAGCATTGTTTCCAACAGGTAAAACCAGCACAAAATTTTATACGTCATTCTTGCTGAAGCAAGAATATCTTTCTGTAATTCTTCAAGTGATCATTTACCCCTGTGTTTGCTTATTTAACAGGTGGCTAGGTGTTCGAATTGAATTAATAGGAAACTTTGTTGTCCTGTTTGCTGCCCTCTTTGCTGTGTTAGGTAAAAATAGTTTGAATGCTGGCCTGGTAGGACTGTCGGTATCCTACGCATTACAGGTGTGTATAATTTTGTTTCGGGATGTTGCAGAATATTAACTCATACAGAGCACTGTTATATGACTGACGTTTAATAAGCACTCAGAAAAGACAGAATTAATAGGGTAAATAGTGCTGTTCAGGGTTATAATAGTAATACCTTACATACACATATTCAGTACTTAAAACGTGCCCAAATGCATACAGTATATAGGACTTGCTTCCCCCACCAGTGAAATGTGGTCACCTTTAAGATGGACTACAGTTGTTCTTTAATAGCCCACAGGAACATTGCACAATGGTTTAAGACAGGAAGGGAAGAAAATTATCTTATTCAGATGAAGGTCCATAGGGAGTTTAGGTAGGCAGGATATACTGTACTTCCCGAACTTCCTAATGAGTATCCAGGCACTCCTGCTAAAACTTTACATGCCTGTTTCTGAGACTGCATTTTCCCAGTATGCTCTTCAGGCTACATTCAGGCTCTTCAGGGGATGGGCTATTTCTGGATCACTGGATTTTCTTTTTGGTACTGTTTAAGGAGACCTGCACATTCCTTGTCCAGACATGGTGTCCCTGTCCGCCTTTCTGTAGTTCCACTGTAGCCTTGGGCAAGTGATCACTATAGGTACGGTAATCCTTATTTGGATGAGAATGCTGGCTGTGGATGAAATTTCAAGGACCCTGCAGGTGGCTGGTAGAGGGCAGTCCCAGCAGAAGTGACCCAACTGAAATCCGGGGAGTAGCCCTGGTTCCAGCAGGCAGAGTGAAAAGTTGCTGGTTGCTTAAGGCCATGAAGAAGGTGTAATTTGTTGTGGGAGGCCCAATTTGCAAGGTCTATTTCATTTTGATGAGATTCTCTGTAAGTCCATCTGGTATGGTGGTTATTAAACTTTCCGTCATAGATGGAAGGATGCTGGAGTGATGGTAGAGGAGGAGCAGGCATAAAACTCACCAGATACATGATGGCAGTAGAAGGTCTCTCCAAATAGTGTTGCCATACACCTGACCAACATAACTAAAACAGGCCAAAGACAAAATATTCAAAGTGTAAATCAAAAAAGAGTGGCATCAATACAGGCAATCTCCACAGCTCAAACCCAAGATGAAAACTTCCAGCCATTCTCGAGGGAAGAAATAGAAAAGCACTGAAATCAATTAAAATAGGAAAAGCCTGCAGCTTTGACAGTGATATCACCAGAACTACTACAACATCTTGGGAAAATATGTCAGCACTGGTTGTCCATCTTCATCCGCGTCACACTTTTCAAGAGAAGAAAAAAACTGGAGCTGTCTTTTTTGATCTTACAGCAGCTTATGACACCATCTGGCACATTGGTCTGCTGTATAAGATGTCAGGAGTTCTTCCTAGATGAGTTGTCATGGCAACTGAGCAGATGGCTCTGAGGCAGACATTTTTAGCTGGCTCTGGGCCACAAAACCAGCATCTGGAGATTCCAGAAAAACGGACTCCTGCCAAGCTTAGTACTGGCACCAACTGTATTTAATGTATTCACCGGTGACCACCATCTCTGGGCAGCTCAAGGACACTGACTCTATCTGCTTGGCCTCAAGGGTCCGTGACTTCCAAAAGGTTGAAGAGAACCTGAACAGTGATGTGACTGCCATAGGTGACTATTGCAAGAAATGGAGACTGAAACCAAGTACATCAAAGACCGTATCAACATGTTTTCATGTACACCATGCTCCAAGCCAACTTGAGCTTAACATCAATCTAAAGCCACTATACGTAGTGTCACCCTAGATCATCCACTGACCTACAAATACCACCTCACAAATGTCATTTAAAAAAAGATCAAGAGCAGAAACTGTCTCCTGAACAAACTTCTGGGGTTCTCCTGGGAAGTCAGTAGGCAAAGACTGCATAATTTGGGACTTGTTCTCTGCTACTCAGTTTGAAAATACTGTGTCCCAGTTTGAATAAACTCGGCCCATCGTAGCCTAGTGGACATGCAGCTTAATCATATCATAAGAGTTATCAGAAGCATATTGAAGCCAACAAAACTCGTTACCAGTCCTAGTCAATATTCCTCCACCTAATATATGATGTCAGAATGCAGCCAACAATCTGATCACCAAGATACAGCAAATTCCAAACTTGCCACTGTTCAGGGATATATGGGATGTGCCCCACCGCTGACTACGTAGCAGAAATCCTCTCTGGGCAGTGCTGCATGTTCTCCATCCAGCTGATAATATCTTCAGCTCACTGAGGCAGACAGAGAGAGCCTCTGCCCCTACCAGGAACTCCCACATTCTCACCAGGCCAGATGAACCCACCTCTGGAGCCAGTTTCAAGTGTGGTTCCTTGTGCTCAGCCCAACTTTGCTTGAGGCATCCAGGACAGCCCACTGGGGATCTTTGATGCGGTGGAGGGTGTAGCACACATGCTGAATGGTTGTTGTTTTTTTGTATAGGGCTCCCTGGAGGTCTTTCCAGGCTGAACACTGCTGACTCAGAGGCCACTTATTGACTCAGGACAATTTAATTGTTCCCTTCTGCCCCTCTTTAATCCCCCATCACCACCACCCACACTGTACTTCCCAATTTGGGCAGGATACCAGGCTTAATGCCCCTGCTCTTGCTATAGGATCTATAGTCACCATGAGTGGTCAGGATTTTTAGGCCTCATCTGCAAACTAATACTGCTGGAGCACTGGTTCAATACTGATTCAGAAGAAAGGGGGCCACTTACTGAATCACCAGCTCAGATATGATGGAATTACAGCTCTAGGTACCAGTTGGATCTTAAACACCCTGAATTTATATATACCAATAATTACTGCTTGTCTCTATCTATTTTAGGTACTTATGTAGTTCCTATTACTGTAGTATCTGAGTGCCGCAGTCTTTAATGTATTTATCCTCACAGTACCCCATAAAGCAGGGCAGTGCTATTGTCCCTGTTTTCAAGATGGGAAACTGAGGCACAGAGAAGCAAAATGACTCATCTAAGATCACACAAGGAGTCGGTGGGAGAGCAGAGAACTGACCCCAGGTCTCCCAAGTCCCAGGCTAACACCCTGACCACTGCACCAGCCTTACTCTCCAATAAATACTTATCCCTTGTAATCTTTCGTCTCTTAATTTATATTTCATTGAATGTTTTCCTTGAAAATAAGAGGAGAGCAGAAAAAAAGACAATTGAACAAAAAAGTAAAGGGAAAGAAAGGATGGTGGGGGCACGGAGACAGCCATCTTGGTTTCCATCTTCTGGGGATCAGTCAAAGATTTCTAAAAAAATTAGACCAAATCTTTTTTTCTTTAAAAAGGGACAATCCAGATGCTAAGACTGTCAGGGAAAGGCCTTCAAGAACCTGCCGATAATTGTAGTTTACAAGACGTCTCCATTCTGATTGCCTCATAACAATTGCAGTAGGTTAGACGTTCGCGTACAAGGCTCCTCAAAATGCTGCAGATTTAACTAGCAAAGTCAAAGCAAAATGGTGATCTGTAGGTTTGACCCTACTGCTTGATAACATAGTCCATCCTGGTCACTTCCAGTGGAAGACTGTCCAAGATCAGTATACTGCTCTGTAATTACTACTTGCATTATGATACCACTTAGAGCTCCCAGTTAAGGTCAGGGCCCCGTTGTGCTAGGCATTATACATATGCACAGTAAAGGCCAGTCCTTACCCCCAAAAGCTTGCAGTCTAAATACGTAGACGGACAATAGGAGGGAGAAATGAAGTAGTATTCCCATGTTAGGGATAGGGATCTGAGGGACAGAGAGACTAAGGGTGGAATCTACAAAGCAACTGAGGCTTCTAACTTCTGTTTAGCCTCCTAAATTCTATTGATTTCAGTTGAAATTAGGAGCCTAAATAGAAGTTGGGAACTAAAGTAACTTTGTGGATTCCACCATAAGAAATGATTTAACCAAGGTCACAGAGCAAGGCTATGGCAGAGGTGGAAATTCCAAGTCCCATAATTCCTCTCTGTAAACTTCTTGCCCTGTGGTCTTTATTATTCTTAACACAAAGCTAATTATGTATATTGTAGTTCAAGATGTAGCTGTAGAAACAATATATAACAAAGAGAAATATTAGAAACAGCATTTTATAAAGCATACTTTGCTATTCTCCAAGGGGTAATATTTTACTCTTTATATTGTCCAGGTGACAATGTCTCTGAATTGGATGGTGCGGATGACTTCGGACCTAGAATCCAACATTGTGGCTGTCGAGAGGGTGAAAGAGTATTCAGAAACTGAGACTGAGGTCAGCTCCTGAACTGTTCGCAATCAACATGTTTATTCTCAGAAATCCATCATTTCCATTTGTTTCTTTCAACACTTAGACAGAGGAGGACCCTGCTCTGAGGACCTGACAGCGTAACCTAGACAAATATGATGTTCTAGACACTAGTTTGGGTTTGTCTGTACTGCTCAGTTTTACTGTCTTTGTTAACAGGTTGTAACATAGTTGATGCTAAACATGAGCCCAAATTCTCTGCAGTTGTAAGTGGGAGAAATTCCACGGAAGTCAGTGGAACATTTTTCATCAACAGAAAACTTGGCCCACAGTCCGTGTCTACATATAGAATCATAGAATATCAGGGTTGGAAAGGACCTCTTAATCACCTTAGCCGGTTCTCCTGTCTCCCATGTTTTTGTTCAGAAGCACACCTCAGTCCTCTGCCCCCGATGCTTGCAGCTGAAGCATTATGAGATTGCTTCCCAGCTTTTCTCAACACACACTGCCATAAACACAGTTGTGCAGCTTGGTAGATAGACAGTTATGCCTGGAAATAGGCTGCTCTGTGAACGTTTGGGACTTGATTAGTTGTAATTCAGAGGAAAAGACGGTTACTCACCGTTGTAACTGTTGTTCTTTGAGGTGTGTTGCTCTTATCCATTCCATTAGGTGTGTGCGCGCCGC